GTGATTAATCAGAAGCAAATGCAGAGCATTTTGAGAAGGCGGTAATAACGGTAAGAGAGAGAAAGTTAGTTTTGGTCAAGGAGAGGAGAAATCAAAGGAGAATGTGACAATTGGACTCGGAGCCCTCCTTTGATCGATTCTTCTGTGCGCGCCAAAAGTTATATATTTTCTGTAACAGAAAATAATGGGCCGAGTAAGCCCATTTTTCTTAAAATCGGACCGGATGTTTAAACTGGTACGGTTCGAAATCGATGGAGATAGGTAAAACCCCAAACCGACTCAATCTTCTTCCCGCAACTTGATTAATCAGCTTTCCCAATTCTTGTGGTGAAACCCTAGACATCGTAGGTAAGTCCTCCTACTCCACGATTTTACGGTGAAGATTTTGATTTTTGGTCTATTCTCTGCTTTTCAATGGAGATTTGTTCTTGTCTTTGATCGAAATCTTTAATCTTGTATGGAGAAAAACGTCAAGATTTCTTTTTGTTTTTTGTTTTTTATTGATCTGTCCAGAGAGAGATGGAAAATTCGAGGATCCCACCGTTTTCTGAAACAAAGAGGAAGAAGACTCCTACTCCAAAGCAACCCTTGACTCGAATCGGGAAAAAGGACTCAACGAGGAGCAAATCGGATCATGTTTATGCAATTTCAAATCAACCCGAGATGATGTCTAATTCAGATTCATCTTCCGGAAACGAGTACAGAGCACTCAGGAGAAAGTATTTGCTTCTGGAGGAAGACAGTTTCGCATTGGAGAGAGAGTTAAAGGAAGCTGAGGATCAAGTTAAAGCACTTGAAGATGAGAAACTTGAGCTTTTGGACAAACTTGTTGTAATGGAAGGTTTAGTTGATCCTTGATTCTTGTCGTTCATATGTACAAGTACATAGTTTCTTGGTTACATTTTGTTCTGTGAATCTCTCACTTCTTGTGTCTCTTCAAGTTAATCAAAACCATGTCCAAAGAGTCCTTTTTTTTTGGGGAACCACGTGTCCTTCATCCACATTAGTATGCTAGATAGATAAAATATGTGTGGCTGAGAATCATTTCACCGCTTCAGACTCTGTTTTAGACCCAAAGTCGATTGCTTTTCATCTTCTTGTTAGCGTAAATGGCCGCGTCCCTTCCGACCAGTTTCTGTCTGAGCCATGGTGATGAGTGTTGCAACCGTGCACACACCAAACCATCATTTCCAAGCCATCATTTGGCTGTGAAAAGGAACCTAGTTGGTCACTACGAAAGTAGCACAGTGAGGAGATTGGTCATGACGGCTGCGACTGAGGGATCAAGGAAATCTAAAGAAAGTCAACCGTCTTGGGCAAATCCTGACTCAGATGAGCCACCTCCTTGGGCTAGAGACGAAGCTCGTTCTTCTACTACTCAAGATAGCTTTGAGATTCCTTTCTATGTTTATCTCCTAGCCTCAGCGATTACTGCCATTGCTGCTGTATGCTTTCC